CATCTAAGAAATAAGCACAGATTGTAGAGAAAGCAATTTCTAAAGAATTAAGGGATTTATATTTATGAACGTGGAAGGATTCTTTCCATAGAGAAAGTAAATATATTTGTTAGAGGAATTGGTAAGTATCATAATAGTTCGAATGAGACCAAAAATTGAAGAATGAAACTAGAATTTAAAAAATAAGCCTAAAAGAAAGGAAGAGACCAAAGAAAATCAGGCAGTGAGTGAAAGGAAAAAAATTTGGAAACGTTCTTTTCTTTTTTAATCTTTTCCCCCAAAGCAAGATGATAATGCAGGTGTTTACTGGAAGTGAAAGAGAATGAGAAAACTTTAGTGAGGAGAACTGACGATAAAAAAAAAAAAAAACAGAATTCAAGTAAAAAGAAGATGGCGATTAGCACTGCATTCAAATTTTTGAAGATTGTAGGAGGTAGGGAAGCAATTTATAAACGAGGAAGTAAACCATTCCCAAACAGAAACTATGATTTGGAATTGGAATCAAGGCAGTGATGGCACATACACTGAAACCATCAAAAAATACGGGATGTGGGTTAATAAATACAAAAGACTTCAAATAAATCAAGGTGTGTATCGCTTAAAACAAATTTAGTTTAGGAGATAAGGAAATTAAACAGACTGTACTTGTTATAGTCCCCCCCAATACTACAGCTTCCTACAAATTCAAAACATTAACCTTATTACATGAGTTATGTTCTTAAATAACCTCTCGATAGAGATCGAGTCTCTTATATGGATAACATACATAGCGTCCAATTCAGTCAGAAACGTCTGAACTATCAGCTGTATACAACCGATTTCTCAGATCAAATGTCTTCGAACAATGAAGGCTGGAGGTCTTACAGAGGACCATACTTTATCAGATCTTACAGACTGGCGCTATATAATCATAAAGCAAGAACTTTGACAAATAACAAAAGCGACATCACTTGAGAGTGCCAAAAGTAGCAACAACTAATATGGATAGCACATGGATCTCAAAGAGAGAATCGTCACATAATCGAGACGTCAATTTTCCACAGTACTTATAGAAAGAGTTAGAAGGGAAGCATCCACCAATGATGGAAATGAATTAGAGAAGCGTAATTTCTTGAAATACCCTTGAGAAAATTCTTTTATAAAAAAATGCTGTCCAGTTCTTTTAGAAACGTCTAAACTATCAGTTGTATACAACTGATTTCTCAGATCAATGATTAAAAAATGGCTTCGAGCAAATGAAGGCTGCCGGTCTTACAGAGGACAATACGGCGCCAGATCACACAGACTGGCGCTATATAATCACATAGCAAGAACTTTGCCAAGTAGTAAAAGTCCTGGTTCACTGAGAAAGCGGTAAGTAAACAACAAATCTTGGTCTCTCTCTGGTGGAATTTCCAAGGGGTACTGCATTTCGAGTTTGTTCCACACCGTCGCGTCATCAACGCTAAACTTTATTGCAAGCATCTAGACCGTGTGGACGACAAACTAAAGAAGGAGTATCCTGCTTTGGTCAACCGAGGTTAGGCTTTGTTTCAGCAAGACAATACGAGGCCAAACACTTCCAGGTTAACTAAGAAGTTCAAACTGATGGACGGTGTTGAGATTCTTCCACATCCACCTTTCAGTCCCGATACTGCTCCGAGTGACTATGACCTATTCCGATCAATGGCTCACTTCCTCCCCGACCAGCGATTCAATACTTTTGATGAAATCAAGGAAGCTTGTTTACAGTTTTTATATTCAAAACCAGCGGACTGGTATCTGGGACAGATTCAGTTGCTGGTTGGTCACTGGCCTTTATTTTGAAGAATGAATGTTGGTGCTGCTCGATAAAATTTTCATTTTTGCTTCCTAAGTGAGTCAGGACTTTCTGGCCTACATAATAACAAAAGTGACATCATTTGTGAACTTTCAGAAGTAGCAACAACTATTATGGATAGCACATGGCTCTCGAAGAGAGAACTGTGGACTAATCAAAATGTCAACTTTCCACAATACTTAAAGAAAGAGTTAAGAGGGAAGCATCCAACAATGCTGAAAAGACCAATAAAAGTGAATTTGAGAAGCGTATTTTCTTCAAAAAAATTTGAGAAAAAGATTTTTTAAATTTAAACGTGCATCATCCCTAACCGTGTGGTCAATGACTTTCGACCGTTTCCATATTAACAAACGGCTTATCTGAAACACTACTATGTTTTTAAAATCATATCACTCCAAGCAAAGGAATAATGCCACTAAGACGCAAAAGTGTTACTGGGAGTTAAAGAAAATGAGGTGACTTTAGTGAGGAAAACGGAGAATAAAATAACAGTTTTCAGGAAGACAGAGGATAGTAGGTAGATTGTAGAATGTAAAGAAGCAAAACATAGGAAGGGAGTTCCACAGGCGAGAAGTGCGAGACAATAAACTATTAGAACAGACGGTTGCATCTAGCTCGTTCAATAGTAAAACAGTGAGACCTAATTGCCAATCTAGTAGCACGTTTAAATTCATGCAGTGGAGGCACCAAAGAAGTAAGTATATCAAAACAATTGCCATGAAAATATTTATAGAAAAGACAGAGGGAAGCCATATCATAGAATTGGGGAAATTGACTGAAGTCGAGATGCCAGGTCAGTATCGATAACATTACAGACCCTTCTTTGAATATTGTCAAGAATAGTAGAAGAATCTGACCAGATATGTCAGCAATATTAAATGCACGGACGAATGGTAGATTTATAAATATGAAAATCTGACGAGAAAAATTGTCTTTCCCGTTTCAGTGAATGAACCTAACAGTTGATTTAGTATAATCACTATACTTTATGTCAGTGGAAAACGTGAGCCTTAAGAAGTCACGAAGGTGACAGGTTAGTAAGAAACTGGTAGAGCGTTCCAGATGTACGAGAAAAGATAATATTAGTATAGAACTTATGCTTACATCTATTTCAAAATTAAAAAGATGAAACCGAGTAGACAATTAAGTAGTACGCTTAATTTCACGCAGTCGAAGTACGAAGGTGGAGAACTCATCAGAACAACTACATGAAAAATATTATTAGAAAAGAGAGAGGGAGGCCACCTCACGGCGTTGGGAATGTGACTGATGTCGAGATGCCAGGTGAGGACCGATAACATTACAGACTCTTCTTTGAATTTTGTCAAGAAGCACCAGACCAGATACGTCAGCAATATTAAATGCACAGACGAATGGTAGATTTATAAATATGAAAATCTGATGAGAAAAATTGTCTTTCCCGTTTCAGTGAATCAACCTAACGGTTGTTTCAATATAATCACTATACTTTATGTCAGTGGAAAACGTGAGCCCAGGAAGTCAGGAAGATTTGTTCTCCTGAAGTTTCCCTTTCGAGGTTGCAAAAAAGATTTTTGTAGACTCTACACAATATACCCCCAACGTTACAAGGTAACATTGCAAATGATCCAAGAGGATATTAGAATGTGCTTCCATCATCTAAATTAGTGATTTCAATTTTTTAAAATAAAAAGCGAAAATAAATTTTATATCTTTTATCTTTGTCGAGAATCTCCAGGTAAATAGCAGAGGCAGCAGACCAGATAAATTTACTTTTTGATCGTTCCACCCCAAACAAGGCTACTATACCACTGGATCGCGAGGGGTTACAGGGAGCGAAAGTGCTATAGAATAATAAGATGGGGAGGATTCAGGAAAGAACAAAAAAAAAAAAAAAAGAAACAGGGTGTAAGAAGCCAGAAGATGGCGATTGACGTCGCATTTAAATTTTTGAAGAATGTTGTTGTTAGGGAAGCAAAAACTCGGAAGGAGTTCCACGGGTAAGAAGTGCGAGAAATGAAACAGAGTAGAAGTACCGGTTTCATCTAGCTAGTTCAAAAGGAAAAACGGTAAGGCCTACTTGCTAATCTAGTAGCATGCTTAAATTTATGTAGCCTGGCACCAGTAAAACATGCTTATCAGAGCAAGTGTCATGAAACTATAGACAGAGGGAAGCTATGGTACGTCGGTGAGAAAGTGACTGAAGACGAGATGTCTGGTCAGGATCGACTAAATTGCAGACCCTTCTATGGATTTTGTCAAGAATCTCGAGATGTACTGTAGGAGTTCCAGACCAGATATGGCAATGGCATTCAATCCATGGACGAATGGTAGATTTATGTTCAAGATTGATTCTGAAGAAAAAATATTTTCGCACAACACAGTAAACCAACTTTCTTTGCAGCAGACGTAGAGATTGACTCGATAAAATCGCTTCACTTCATGTCAGTAGAAAACGTGATGCCAAAAAGTCATAGAGTGTTGCACTTCTTGATTTTAGCATCAGCTAAACCTATTATAAACAGAAAAGTTTTTCTGTGGTGATTAAATGAAAGCAGTTTTATTAGGGAGGTGTTGAAATTTACAAGTCATTTCTTGCCCCAGTTAACCGCTGACTGGAAGACCTTTTCAGGTGTAGCTGCCAGGTTTACTTTGTCGGATCAGTTGAATTTGTTATTCAGACAAGAATAAATATTAGTGTCATCAGAATGAATACGTTGTTGGGAAATGATGACACCAGGGAGATCATTCAATGCGCAGACGAATGGTAGATTTATAACTTGTAAGGATAGATTTTGTCGAGAAAGAAAAAAATCTACATGACAGCTGATGGTGAACGATAGCACACTCGAAACTACGAGGGTCCTCTGTCTGTCTATCTATCTATCTATCTATCTATCTATCTGCACACACACACACACACACACACACATATATATATAAATATAATGGCCAGGCCGCCTGACGATTGCGTCTAGCATGAAACAGCCTGCCGCCTCTGAGTGTTGACTTCAATGTTCTCTTTTATATTTATATTTTATATTTATATTTACATACGCTTTATCTCTGATATTTTGTAGTTTAAGTTTATCCCTTAAATGTAGCACACCTTTTTAACTATATTTCTATATATATATATATATATATATATATATATATATATATATAAACGTGTGGGTTGATTGGTTGATACTGAATTTAGTTAGATACATTCTCCGTGCACATTATCTATCTATCTATCTATCTATCTATCTATCTATCTATCTATCTATCTATATCACTTTTCTTATCTATCTATCTATCTATCTATCTATCTATCTCAGTTTGTTCTTATCTATCTATCGATCTATCTATCTATCTATCTACCCCAGGTTGTCCTTATCTATCTATCTATCTCACTTTTCTTATCTATCTATCTATCTATCTATCTATCTATCTATCTATCTATCTATCTCACTTTTCTTATCCATCTATCTATCTATCTATCTATCTATCTATCTCACTTTTCTTATCTATCTATCTATCTATACCACTTTATGTTTGACGATATGTAAATTCTATATTGTCTCTCATTCATGTCCTGTATCAACCAAGTTGCCTCCCTTCGAATTTTACTTCCGCTCCTTCAATATCTTTTTCCCATTTCTTTCTTCTTTTCTGCTCAATTCTCTTCAGACAATGCAACGATAGGTCAGGACGCCCTTATGAATGACTGCCACAATATGTTTTGATCAGCAACGAATGAATGACACGTTTGCTAAGAACACGGAGAGAAATATTCAGTTCGCTTTTGTATTGGGTCAGTCTCAGAGGAATGTAAGTGTGCAACTGGGAGAAATTCTTCCTCAAGCCAATCACATAACGATATATCAGTTTCAGTAAGGTGAAAAGGTCAGCCAAGGGTCGAAACAAGAGTCAGATTCCTTACGGCGTTTTAACATTGGATAGAAGTAAAATAAATGACGTTCCTCGGCATTATAGATTAGTGCGTATAACTAAAGGGCAAATTTTTCCATTGAAACTTCTTGCTTTCGCTTTCAAATAAAGTATATATATATATATATATATATATATATATATATATATATATATATATATATATATATAAAGAAATGGACAAGGTCCGACAATTTATTTATTAAAGACATTTTTTTCTCGGACATTCAGGCCGGTAAATGTTATTTAATACTGTTTATCATAAACAGAGCATTTGCTTAAATACTCGTATCTATAAATAACAACGTTAAACATAAAAAATGTCTTTAATAAATAAATTGTCGGACCTTGTCCATTTCTTAATATATGACGTCATTTGTTTACATTTGATACGCCAGAGCAGTTATGAATGTACGAGATTCATGGAAGATTGAAGTTTATAAGCAGTAAATTCGACCTTATGTTCCGAAAGGTTCTTTGTGGCCCAGAGGTAAGGCACGTCAGCGTAAATGACGGTTCCGTATAGGATGCAGGTTCGAATCCTGTCAAAGAACGAATATTTTCTATGAAAATTTCTCGGACATTCAGGCCCGTAAATGTTATTTAATACTGTTTATCATAAACAGAGCATTTGCTTAAATACGTGTGTTTATAAATAACAACGTTAAACATAAAAAATGTCTTTAATATATATATGTGTGTGTGTAAATTTGTGTATTTAGGCAGAAAATTCTCTGTTAGATATGTCTGATTGAATAAATTAAAGACATTATGTCTGCTAATTTTTAACAAACTCCGTTCATACTCACGAATAACATTCCGTGTATTGATGTTAAAGGATGAGAGAAATATGCTATAGCTGTTTAAATTTCTTATATTTTTATCTCCCAAGTACTTTCGATCTTCTTCCAAGATTATCTTCAGGAGTGCATGTAGCACAAAAGAATATGTTGCCCATTAATAAAAGTATTTATACAAAGATGTGCGTTGTTATTTATTACCATAATTTTTTCATGATGCTTTTAAATGAAAAACGGCTGACAATGTGCCGAGCTTTCATTAGAACGTGAAAACATTATCCATTATGGAATTTTTTCTCTCTAGGTTATAATGTCATGGTCACACGCGCATTAAAGCATAAAAAAGAACTGTTCCTTTACAGGCATTTCAGAACATTACTGCAGTATTCATTGTTGATTCTGTTCAGTGCCGACTTTAATTTTTTTTTAATATAAATTGCTTCTAGTATCTGTAATCTAAATTTGTTGTTTTCATGGTGTAGGATAGTTGTATTGTTGATTAGTAATTTTTTATATTGTGTATGTGGACAGGAATGTTGTTGTAGATGTCTCGCAATGGACGAATGGTCAGACATGTGGAGTGTAAGCCTTCTTCTTAGTCTATTTGTCGTATACCCAACATATATATTTGTTTTTTTTTTTTTGTCGGAGATACATTCTCACAAGGGACATTTAAATTGGTAAATTTAAATTGGTATATATATATATATATATATATATATATATATATATATATATATATATATATATAAAAAGTATCGGCGCCATTGGTATTGTAAAGTAGTTAAAGAGTTATGTCGCTTGGTACTGATTGACTTTTCAAACGTGACGCGCATACAAAATAAGTTATACAATTCTAGCTCATTGTACTTGTTAATAGTAGTGCTTCAGTAGTGTTTCAGAAGCTTCATCAGTGAACATGGCTTGTGCAGCAGGATTGGGTCACGTAAAACATTCTTCTGGTCAGAATACCAACATATTTCCCAGGTTTCGCCCCTTGTGGTTTTTTCTTCTTTCCAAATATCAAATTCCACCAAGGTTTGAAGATGCCGAGAAGATCCAAGAGAATGCGACGAGGGAGCTGTTCGCTTTCTCCAACAAAAGAGTTCCAGCAATGATTGCATCAATGGAAATGACACTCGATAAAGTATGTGGGTTCTGAATGAGAACTACTTCGAAGGAGATTAATTGCCGAATTGATATATGTGGTAGTTTTCTTTTATGGCACAAGTCCCAATACTTTTTGACAGACCTCGTACATATATATATATATATATATATATATATATATATATAAACACACATATAAGTATATATGCATATATATATACTTTATTTTTTTATATATATATATATACATTATTTTTTATATATGTATATATATATACTTTATTTTTATATATGCACATATATATTTTTAATTTTCATATATGCATATATATACTTTTAATTTTATATATGCATATATATACTTTTTAATTTTTATATATGTATATATATAGTTTTTTATATATGCATATATATACTTTAATTTTTATATATGCATATATATACTTTTATTTTTATATATGCATATATATGCTTTAATTTTTATATATGCATATATATACTTTTATTTTTATATATGCATATATATACTTTAATTTTTATATATGCATATATATAGTTTTTTTTTTATATATGCATATATATAATTTAATTTTTATATATGTATATATATTTTTTTTTATATATGCATATATATAATTTATTTTATATATATGCATATATATACTTTATTTTTTATATATGCATATATATACTTTATTTTTTATATATGCATATATATACTTATATATATACAGAGAGCGCCTTATCGAACGTGATCAACAATTTGAACAATTTCAGTAAGCTCAACCTCTCGGTCACAAATAGGCCCGTGTACCCGATTCGACTGGTGCGAGTCAACCCCGTGCTATGGTCTTCAGGCACTTTCCAAAGGTGCTGCACGTAGGGATTACCACTACAGGCCGATAACATCAAGGTTACCTTCCTGATAAATCGACCATGGTGAAATTCGAACCCGTGTCTCATGGTCAGAAAGCGCACGTCCTAACTGCGCATTTATATATTTCTATAGAATTAGTGGACTTTATTATTTAATCTCACATAATTTCATTACTTTAAACATTATTTTTAATGGATACCTGTATTTGTTCAAGTCGGTAAATAAAATAATTACTGTTTAAAAAACAAAACAAAAATAGACGGAGCGTCTACTCAAATATGAGTATCCACTAAAAATTAAGTTTTAAATAATAATAATGATATTATATATATATATATATATATATATATATATATATATATAGAGAGAGAGAGAGAGAGAGAGAGATAGATAGATAGATAGATAGATAGATAGATAGATAGATAATATTAGTGACAAATATACGCATACACATACATATGCAATCATATATCTAAAATATATAAATATATATGCATACATACATACATACATACGCATACATATATACGCATAAATAATTCCAAGAGGATACAATCCAAATAGAACTCAATGTCCAGGACAGAGTAAGGATATAATAAAAAGGCTTAAACACTAATATTCCATGGTCATAATTTATTCTATTGGAATCGTTAATAAGATCCATTTCATCAGACCTACAAATTCTGATGAATTGATCGTATTTACGATTCCAACGGAATAAACTATGACCATGGAATATTAGTGTTTATTTTTTATATATATATATATATATATATATATATATATATATATATATATATATATATATATATATATATATATATATATATATATATAGCCTGGTTTGAGGCATTCAGATGCCTAGTCACACTGAGAAGGTGTGACACAGCGAAACAGTACTGTCTGCGAATGTCATAACTTAGCTCTTGAAAATATATTTCAGTTGAGCACTGTTGAGTGATAGGCTAATTCTATAAACAACAGCCACCTGCGCTAATGCGAAGCTTTTCAGTAAAATGAATGGAGCACCTCGGCTGATTGGCATTTGTTTACATTCGTCAAAACAATACGACAGATTGAGTGAATAAGAAGAGTGAATAAGCTCTGACTGACACCAAATCGGTTGGTTTTCGATCCTGGCTTGAGGCATTCGGAAGTCGCACTGAAGAGTTGTGATACAGCGAAACAATACTATCTGCGAATCACACACACACACACACACACACACACACACACACACACACACACACACACATATATATATATATATATAATATATATATATATATATAAATGATAGAAATTAAGGAGAATTTGAGATAATTAAGTAATTCATCGAGTCTAGGAGAAACCTCAATAGAATGCAGAAGCCACTGGACTGCCGTTTGGTCCTATATTTGGGACTCATATATATATATATATATATATATATATATATATATATATGCGCTGTGTTTAGTGGAAAGTGCTTAATGTTCGTGATAGAGCTAACATATGAGTTTGTCTGAAAATCGCGAAAGCTTGAAATCCGGGGTTACAAACTACTTATCATGCAACCGCATATATATATATATATATATATATATATATATATATATATAAAGTTTACTTGTGCCGATTTTCATCTTTATTGTTTTGTTTAATATTGACTAAGTCTTTTATTGATGTATGTAGTAGTAACACATTTTATGTTGAGTTTAGATAAATCATTTTCAATTGTAGACGTCATAAAATTAGTAGGCAACATTTTATATATAGTTATTTCATACACATATATATATATGTGTGTGTGTGCAGGTGTGTGTGTGTGGCTATATATGTGTCTGTCTGTCTCTCTCTCTCTCTATATATATAGATATATTATGAAATGCACTAACTCTGACAATTATTTTAATATATTTTCTGTAAATGTTTCTACGTAATTTCTTGGACATTCGGGCAAGTAAATGATGGTAATACAGTTTAAT